AACAGGCGCTAACATCTCTAACAGCACCCTGGATTCGGAACTATCTTTTGCTAATTTTTACTATTCTTAAGTATCCTGTTCGGCCTGTTAGCCTCTGGGTACAAAAACGTTTTCTGAGAAATATCACTGCCAACATCCCCAGGCGCCCGAAAAAGGTGAATTTTTCTTTTCTTCGCCAGACTTTTTGACTAATAAATATATTTATATTCTAGTCCTGTGTAGGCTTGCTTCCTGCATCAGATCTATCACGATTTTTATGGCAAATGTTTCAGCGTGAAAGATATTCTGGTCCAGCAGCCTGAATGCTTTGCCTGAACAATGGAATTTGAGTTCCATATTAGCTACCAGAAGCTTTTGAAAAATCAGGCTCGAAATAACGTAGCTCGAAAGTACGAGGCGGCCTTTAGACATTTGTCAAACTTAACTGTCAAACCACACATGTTTTGTTTTAATTAAAAGCCATTTATGAAAATGGATCGCTTAACAGCCACACAAGACGTTTATCTTGTTAAATCCAACTACAGAGATGAAGATTCCAACGGACTTACACCTAGGTACGAGGTGTGACAATTAATTAATGAGACTGATTTCATAAAAGCCGTATAATCCAAAATTATTCTACAGCGCTACCATCCCCTTCAAAGTAGTCCCCCTGGGCAGCTATACAACGATTCTAGTGCGTTTTCCATGCCTTGTAACATTTTTGAAACGCTTCGACTGGGCTGTCCGCGAGTACCCTCGAGTACCGACTGGATGTCCTCAATAGACTCAAAATGGGTTCCTTTGACCACCGATTTTGTTCTAGGGAACAAATAAGTCCCAGGGTGACATATCGGACGAATAAGCCGGTTGTAGCAACACGGCGATTGCTTCAGAGTCCAAATACTGGGACACACTGAGGGCGGTGTGGCACGGCACGTTGTCGTTATGAAGGATCCAGTTATGAGCGTTGTCTGGATGAACCCTGTTAACTAGTGTTCCCAATCTGTTGACGATAGTAGACTTGATTTACGGTTCGCTCTGGTGGAAAAAAATCTTTGTGGCTGATTCCGCACCTCAACTGGTCCCCCCTCCGCATTTTATGCATTTTTTTACGTTTTTTTTGTTTTGAAAACACAAAATGGATGACCCTTTGGTTACTTGCATTAAAAAAGCAACAGTTAGCTGACTACTTAAGCTTGCTTGACCTACTAGTTGTGAAGTTGTTTTTAATTCGTTCATTTCACTGCCGGGTACATTCCCATCTTACGCACACACACAAATATGTATATATATGCATGTCATACATATGCTCACTAATCATATATTATTAAAGCGAACTAGCAAGCTCAAGTGTTTAAAAGCAAGTGAAGCTTAAGAAAAGCAGCTGTGCTTACTGCCCGTTGGGTCGCACCAGTAAAGACTTGGGAATACAAAAAAAAAACGCTTATTGCACATTTAATTCAGCCAGCTTCAGCGTATTCATCACTTTAATTACCCGACGTAGCAAGAGAAATTTGATTAAAACTCGACCATTGCGTTTGATGTCAGTTCTTTCACGGACTTTAAGCATTGGACTTGTGCACAGCTTCTGTTGCTAACACTTGATGGCTGTTTTGTAGCCGTTTGCTCGACGGTGAGCCCTTGAACTTTGAGCGCCACATCCAATGTTAATAAGCGTTCAACGTAATGCGCTGGTTTGGTGGCACGGCGCAACCACTCAATTAATCCATAAATCAAGTGGATTTTCAAAGTCAACGATTTCGCGTTGTGAACACACACATACACACACACATGTACACATTGTGTACATAACAAACACACACTACACTTAAAGCATATATATATATATGCATGCAGAGCTTGTCACAAAATGTAGATATATTTTTTCTTATTTAAATGACACTCTCCGCCTTCATTCGGTCTTTCCAACCTTTCTCCTCTTCTTCTACTACTTTTGCTGTTCTAATTCTGCACTTACACGCAACTCGCCCCTACTGGAGCCGCACATTTGCCCTCGACATTACGTAAACTCATGCGAATCGCGATTGTTGAAGAGAAACTCGCATTCAAGATTTAATGTAAGAATCTTTCTTTTTAAATAATTTTTTTCTTTTTTTTTTTTGGTTTTTTGCTTCTCGAGAAGTGAAATTCATAAAACGAACCACAGCATTGCTGCAAAGATACTGCGTTGTAATAAAATTGCACATTTTCATCTCGAATCATTTTGTGCCTGCGAATGCATAGATATCTTTTGTGGGCAGCCGGCCGTTAGCCGTCAGCCGCCAGCCGCCGGCAGTCATTCCACTCAGAGTGTGGTTAATTATAGATGTTTGCAAAAAATAGGCAAGAGCAAAAAAGAAAAAAACAACGAAAAACACAAAATTATGAATGATACTAAATGTGACACAATGAGCGACTTATGTAGTGTACTCGTTGTTGTTGTTGTTGTGCGGCGGGCGTCAGAAAAGGAAAGAAACGAGAGCAAAGCAGCCCCACAACCAATTTCAATTCCAAGTGCACGAGAGTATTGATTTCATTCGGAATATCCTTACATGAAAACTACAAAAAAAAAAACTTAAATAAAATAAAATGAAGAAGAAGACAGACCGATTAACCACCAGGCGCATTTGAATAGGGAAAAAAGAAAATGAGCTGCTACATAAACGAGCATGTAAATTATTGGCAATGAAAATTGGCAACAAAGCAGAGAAAAAAGTTTTTAAAACACTCGTATCTTATGCTCATGACTACTCGGTATAAGTGTCTGACCAGGATATAGGAAAACTTTGATTTCAAAGGTCCAAGTGGCACCTTTCTCGTTTATTGATTGGCTGAAACTTAAAACTCTAATTCATAAAATTCACGGTAGCATCTTTTTGGTAACTGAACGAAGGCACATTAGCGCGAACTGAAGGTCAGAGGCGATTGCTGAGAGTGGCATTCGGCAACCTACAATTCTTCACACCGAATGCGACTGCGATTGTCACCAAAGTATAGAGTTGCAAGAAAATCTTCAAGCTGGAAGGTGGACAAAGCCAATCAGCCGAACTGTTACGCTAAATACGCTGTCCCTTTTGGGAGCCCCCCGAGAATCAGCGAGACTTGGATAAAAACATTACAAACTTATCAAAACCCCGTCTTTAGAACCGGCGAAGTCGTATGCGAGACATCAATACTACCGGAAAATTTTCTACCTGCTGCGATGCTGCTGAATGCCTATAGAGTAATATTTTATAGAAGCACTGGACGTGGCGAAAGATAAACGGATCTTCAACGCCTCTTCCTTATCATCTTACTCCACTAAGCTTTGCGCACTTGAGGTCTGAACATTGAAGCAAAAAAAAGTTACACTTAGCCGGCCTCGGACGTGTTGACACCCTGCATGATATTAGCTTAGCATTTGCCCTTTTTCTAGTTAATTTTAATTCTTCAAAAACCTACCGAAATTTTTGTTGGAGAAATATCTGGGAAAAAGAGTCAAAACAACCCTTTCAATTGGATGCTACCGGATTAAAATTTTCTATATTTTTTTGTTTGCAGTGGAGCTCAGTACTTTGTTATTATTATTTGAGCCACGCGGTTCTCATTGCTAGAAAATTTTCAAGCACGAGGTAGACCTCTGACTCAAGCAATTAGAACATTTTCGAGAATTTTTGAGTATTTTGAATAAAAAATTTGCCTCTGACGCAAACAAATCTGGATTAACTGCTTAATAACCGGGTATCTAGAGCTCTAATTTGTACCTCTTAGCTTTTTAATTCATTCAGATATGCATGCATTAATATTTTCATAATCTTCTCTCCTTTTTTCTGGGAACTAATCACAAAAGAACACGAAAACTTTTGGAGACCATAAAAAAATTTAGCTAAATTTTGAAAATCCATTGAGTGAGAGAAAACATCAGTGAAACCTGGTTGACTGATTTTTTTTTTCGCCATGGATAAGAAAAGATGGTAATCACTTGGGGCTATGTCCAGACTATAAGGGGGGTGCATTAGGACTTCCCGTCCGAGCTCCTGGAGCTTCTGGCGAGACACCAAGGACGTGTATGGCCTGGCGTTGTCCTGATGGAACACAATTCGGCCTCTGTTGATCAAAGATGGCCTCTTATGGATGAATGCTGCCTTCTAGCGGCCCATTTGTTGGCAGTAGAGGGCCGAATTGAGCGTTTGGCCACAAGGGAGCAGCTCGTAGTAGATGATTCCTTGCCAATCCCACCAAACACACAGCAAAACCTTCCTGGCTGTCAATCCGGTCTTGGCCACCGTCTGAGCCACTTTCCCGAGCTGTGACCACGACCGTTTGCGCTCGACGTTGTCGTAAGTGACCCATTTTTCATCGCCAGTCTCAATCCGCTTCAGAAACGGGTCGATTTTGTTGCGATTCAGCAGCGATTCGCAGATGTAAATTCTGTCCATCATGTTTTTTTGCGTTAGTTTGTGCGGCATCCAAACTTCGAGCTTTTTTTTGAATCCAAGGCTATGCAAATAGTTTCAAACGGTTTTCTGGCTTATCTTAAGTTCCTCCACAACTAAATAAGTGCCCACGTGACGGTCTGTTTCCACCGTTTCTATGATTTTATCGCAATTTTCGACGACAGGCCTCCCGACGCGTGGTGCATCTTTGACATCGAAATTACCGGATCGGAACCTAGCAAATCACTTCATTTACACGTACGTTCGTTTACAGTATCGGACCCATAAACTAAATTAATTTTTTCAGCCGCTTTGGCTGCTTTTACGTCTTGATCAAAGAAAAATTTAAAATATAGCGAATTTTCACTTTGCTGGTCCATCTTTGCTCCATCTTTGACGAGCGCTCACAACGTACTGAGTCAATCCATCGAAAAACTTTCAAAGACAAACTTTTAGTGCGAATAAACACCTTTTCAGCGCCGTATGGTATGACCTGTAACACTAGTACTATGGACAATAACGCCATCTCTTAGATAAAAACCGAACGAACTTTTTACTTGATCATATTATGTATGTTTGTATAAACATGATTTATTCACTTACTAGCTCGGCGAGTTTCCCATACTGGTGAAGGGATCATCGTTTGCATCATAGAAATCCTCCTCATCTTCGCTGCTGGAATAAGAGGTTTCAGGCACATCTACAGCCAGTGGAGCAGTTGTTGCTAGATAATAAGAAAAGAAATTTAAGTATATTTGTTAAAAAAAAAACTTTCATAGAGTAGCGAATAATAGGAGCAATATTAATGAGACCAGAAATAATAAATTTAATGAAAATAATTATTCAAAAAAAAAAAACCGAAAAATTACACAAATAAAATGAGAAAGGCAAGAAAGCAACTGGGAATGTTTTAGAACTATTTTTTCTAAAATTCCATAATCAACCGAAACAATTAATTTTAAAGTAAGTAAGTTTAAGGGAATTTCGCCCACAACACATATATGTATTGGGAGTGGAAAATAATTCGATTCGTTTTTTGTGTTCAAAAAAGTGCTTTTATTTAAGAAAGTAAGAAATCAATTTCCAATCCAATTCAAAGTATTATTCGTCGGAAGCATCTACTGTTTTGCCATCTCTCTGATAATTTGAAATATAAATGATTGGTGCTTGGGGAATGGTAGTACGCACTGCTAACCACTCAACCACTCGGCATTCTCTAAAAAAAATAGTCTCCTTTGTCTTCGATCCAATTATTGCGTCACCTTTCGTTTTCTTCATAAGACCGGAACCGGTGACACCCGAAATCGTTTTGCAACCATCGAAAAAACCAGTAATAGGAAGAACCAAGATTTGGGGAATACGGCGAGTGGGAAAACACCACTCATTTCAGCTTTTCCAGGTAGTTTTTGAACCTTGGCGACGTTGCATCAATAATTTCGCCTGGCTTTAACAGCCAATAGCACACCCACCACACCTGTCTGGTATTACCATGTGCAGAGCATGACCCTTGAAGCGTGTAGGTTTTTCTTTAACGGCTATGCATGGAACAGGCTCAGCAGGTGTGGTATGATATTTTATTTCATTCTGGAGATAGCGTAGTATCTCCATTCTTCACAACCAGTCGCGATGCGGCTTTGACAGATTTTTTTCACATTTTTCGGCTTTAACTCGTACGGAACTCAATTTCTTTGATTTTGAATAAAACCAAATTATTTTATCTAACTGAACGGAAATTATTTGTTATTATCAGTTTTCATGGATCTTGATCCAGCAAAGCCTCCATACTTTCCTCATTTTTAAACTTTTTGCCTAAGTCAGGACGCTTCTTGCCTTTGACGCAGAAACCACCACCACTCACTCACTGCATGACTCATTGGTCATTGGTCAAAACTTCCCACAAATGCTGTTTATATAACCCAAATCCGGACATTTACGAAAGAGGCCGAAAACAGTGTTGTAGTCGAAATAGACGCTGATGCACACTAATTATGGTTGAGAGATGTAAAATCTTTCTTATGAAATAGGTAATCGCTTCCAAGATCTGCGACAACTTCTAGCTGGAGTCATACTCCGAGAATGGATCGAATTAATTTGTATTCCCAATATGTATGTATGTATGTATGGATGTACATAATGACTGTTTAATGTATGCGCGTATGTATGTATGTATGTATATTAGTACGTGAGGGTGAATTACAAATGTTATTATCTAGTTAATTAATAGTTTTCTTAATTTTAATTTAATTTTTGTTAAACATACATATATATATATTCAATCAAGGGGTCCAATCTAATGTTTTACAATACTAAATCTCTTGACTATTTGAAAAAAACTCTACCGAAGCATGCCAAAAAAAAAATTTGATATGGGAAATTAACAAAAAAAATGCCCCAACAAATACTACTAGACACAAACAAATTACATAGCACACACAAACACATACAGATATAAGCAAATATTGTAATTTCATTTGTTAGCTGGTTCATGGCTACCACACCTACTTACCACCAACTGCGGCTATGGTGGCAATTTCGGACGCCGTAGTACCATATTCAATGCCATCGGCGATTATGTCAACAATATCGATACTGTTGGCGATGGGGCCCGACATGCTGCCGATATGCTGATATTGATAACGGAAGCGTTGTTGGTGGTGTTGCTGTTGTTGCAAATGTAATTGTTGCTGCTGTTGTTGTTCAAGTTTAAGTAGTTGCAAGTGCCGTTGTACATCATTGGCAGCGGCGGTGGTAGCAATGGTAGGGGTGTTGGTGGTGGTGGTGTTGGTCGTGGCACGTGGCAGCACTGTTTGTGGCAATAAGCCTAATTAAACGCGATTTGATTAAATACAAAAACAAAAAACACCACAAATTCTACATACATAACATACGTAAATATGTATGTATTTATACTTTTAACGCTTAACAAACCCACACATAGGCTATACAAAAACAAAAACAAACAAAAAGAAAAAAAACAAAAAATTACCTACGCACACCTAGCAAGCAGCATGCAACGCATAAAGGCATACAAAAGCAAAGAGGAGGGACTCTTGACAGCTAACACTAATCCAAAGGGGGAAAAAATAAAGAAAGCTGAGGCTTGCGTACCAAAAAATTTGTTTAGTCATGTTGTGTGCAGGAGTGGGTGAGGCGGAAAGGTCAGTAATTTGGGTGACAGAAAGCGAGGGAAGCAAATTATAAGCCAGTGGATGAGATGAGTTATCACTTTAATAATAAAAAAAAATGTAACAAAAAATTAAAATAAATCCAAAAATACCAAAAAAAAAATAAAATTCAAAAATATCAAAACGAAATCAAAAAAAGATTAGTTAACTAAATAAATAAAAAAATAAGGAAGACTAAGTTCGGGTGGAACTGTTGATTAAATCCTCGTTTACATTCGATCCTAAATCCACAGATCGGACAAAAATAAAATATCTCTTATATGGAAGGTAGATCTATTTCTGGACTTATGTAGCCATCTTTGGTAGGGCTTCACTTCTCATTAACAGCAGTGTATCTACCAAGTTTGGTTGTTGATCAATACCTGAAATATTCGAACTTGAGTCTAGCGGTGGCCCGTTCGCGCCTTTACTCAATCCGAGTTCATACGAGACCAAACGAAATCGAAAGTATAAAGTTTTATCGTATTCTTTTCTCTGTCTAGTGGTTTCTGAGATATACTCCTTGACCCACAAGTGAGTTGTGCCACGCCCATCGAAATTTCTTACCTCTCATATTTTTTCATTTAATGCGTTCGTCTCTTTACGTCTTGCATTATCGCAATTTTCGTACTTTACAAAATGATCGTTAGGCGAGAGGTGGTCGTGTTTTGGTCGATTTCACCCATTTGCGAACGCGTCCATACTTGTGATTGTTACGGGAGTTATCGTGTACGCAGACGGTTGGACGGGCGGAAAGACAAGACTCAGACTAAATGGATTCGTCTGGTTTCCATGAAGTTTGATACATATACAGGATGCGCCATTTAGACCTTCGGTATTTCAACATTGAGGAACAGTGATATTTTTCAACTCATTTTGACAATTGAGGAACAGTGTTAGTTTTCAGCTCATTTTGACAAATGAGGTAGAGGTATTTAGGTTACAATTGGCTATTTACTTCGAATCAGTTTTAGAACACAACGTCGATCAAATGACCACATTCATTCGATACACAAAAAACAGCTTTTTTCGTGCATTCGGCATTACATTGCATTTCAGGCATTATAGCAGGCTTACAGACATAAATTTTACTTTTTAAATAGCGCCAAAGGAAAAAGTCAGGTACAGTCAAATCTGAAGAATGCAGCGGCCACTCCAAGTCACACCGATAGCGTGCGCCATCGACGGTTTCTCCAACTTTGAAGAAAAAAAAATGGACCGATGATGGTTTTAGAGCACACTCAAGTCCAAACTAAGACTTTTTGACCGCGCAGTGGTGTTTCGTGAATGTCGTTTGGGTTTTCTGTTTACCAAATTCGACAGTTTTGTTTATTGACTCCGCCGGGAAGCGGGAAAGTAGCTTCGTCCGTCATCAAAATTTTATACCAAAAATCAGACGCAGCATTAATGCAAAGCGCTACGATTTCAGGGCGTTCTTTCAGCTTGTATTGGCTCATGGTTGAAATGGCACTGAATGACGCTTCAGAATCATGCACATTTATCAAAATCGGCTAAAACCGACAGAATTATTCAATGTTGAAGTGCCGGAGGTCTAGATGGCGCACCCTGTATATAAATAATGTCCATACTCATGTCGGTTATTTTATGGCCTTTGATACAACCGTTAGTCGAACAAACACAATATACATAATTGACGTTATATGCCTGCATAAACACAAGACTACGAAAGCTGAACTTTTAACATAAACCAAAAAGTTAGTTACTTCAATCCAATATCATTGATCGAATCAAAAAGTATAGAAATATTGAGCTCAACCCTCAGCAGGGAATGTTAACACTTCAGTGTGTGTTTCCAACAAGAAATACTAAAAGATTACTCATAAAAATTCATCAGCCTCCAATGCACTGTACGTCCCGTTCCGTTTGCCGGAAAAACATCCAGACGCACACATCAAATCGGAGGGATAAGAACTAAAGGGAAAGTAGTTCATAATGCTCTTCCGAGCATAGTTCTGATATGAGAAATATGGATTCCGATAAGAAGTCATCAGCCGTTCTGAGAAGGCTGCTCCAAATGCTTATAACTATGTATATATGTAATATATACATACATATACATATTATGGCAAATTTCACACCACATTTGTCTGTTAATTAATTTCAATTACACTAAACAACATTAAAAGAAAATAAATCGATATTGTTATTGTTGTTGTAGGGGTAAATAAAAACACGGTGGTTATAGAAAACGATTATTCGTTTCATTTTACACAAATTAAAAATGCCCTAATTCGCAAATAAGTATTGTAAATTGTACATATACACATGTACGTGTATATGTGTATGTGCATGAAATTTCATTATTTTTCTTCAATCCTACTTACTGCCAACAGCTGTTGTAGAGGTCATCTAAAGTCGTTTATTTTATATGAATTCCGCACTTTAAAGTACCATAAAGGTTTTAATAATAAATTCATAGATTTATATAACAACCAAAAAAAAAAAAAAAAAAACT